GTTAGCATTATTTGTATGTATATGATTTCAGAAATGACCAGTTGGTACTGGATAACCAGTTTGAGGTTATCCATCTCTAGAATGGATATCATCTCTGTATGTCATATTAATATCATCTCTGGGATGGATGTCATCTCTGTATGTCATATTAATATCATCTCTAGGATGGATATCATCTCTGTATGTCATATCATCAATATAATCTCTAGGATAAATGTCATCTCTGTATGTTGTATCAATATCATCTCTAGGATGGATATCATCTCTGTATACCATATCAATATCATCTCTAGGATAACACCCTACTCTCAGTCTTCCTTAGTTGCCTATAGTTCTCTGTTTAGGGGCCCAATAAGATTCTGAGGGGGAATATTTTGAACACCCACCAATGACTAGAAAGTAAAATTCACTTCTATTTGAACACTAGAATTTTCATTCCCCATTCCACCCTAACCCTGTTGGTAAAGAACTGCAAAGGTCTCATCTGATTATCAGGAAGGATCTCACTGTACCTCACATGCCACCAGCGATGAAGCAGAGGAATGGTGAATTTCTAAAAGATTATGTTTGTGTGTGTGAGCAGGGAATGGGATGAGAGGGAGGAGGAGATTAGAGGAGAGAGAGAGAGAGAGAGAGAAAGAGAGAGACTCACAAATACATACGCAGTATACATATGGAGGTCAGAGAACAACTTGTGGAATTTGGTTATCTCTACAGAGGGAGCCCTGGGATCCAGTTCAGGGCACTGGACTCAGCAGCAGGCAACTTAACCTGCAGAGTCATCTTGCTCTCCCAAATGTTGGCTTTTTAAACAGTAAGTAGGGTTGGGGAGGCAGGACTCCTTCAGAGGTCTGTTAGCCTTAGAGAAACCATTCAGAACACAGATTCACACTGACACAAAGCAACACTGCTCTGTGTTCTGTATCTGACCCTAGTCCTATGTTTCTTTATTGGTAATGAGTTCTGTATCTGACCCTAGTCCTATGTTCCTTTATTTGTAATGATCCCACCTTTGGCTCTCTCTCTCTCTCTCTCTCTCTCTCTCTCTCTCTCTCTCTCTCTCTC